TCATGATAAACCCAGTGCTCATCACGACTCCATAGCATGAGTTAAGTATGAAAACGGTAACATATATCGATGACCAAACTACAATTGTTTTCTTGTTCACCGACGTTTGTCAATTTTAATATATATTTGGTGCTTAAAATCCATAGCGACATAGCGTTGTTTGACAAGTTTTGTTCAGTCTAGGTGCGTTTTTGATATTATTTTTTTTACCTACAGCCCTTATTACCAGCGGCAAGTCAATCCACGCCATTTTGTTTTAAGCCCATCCAGCCCCTCAAAGCCAATTATTCCCTGGTGACCACGCGCTATAGGTATCAAACAGTATATTGATGCGCTTATTCGTCTACGAAGCCATATTGTTCAAACCTTTCTGCCTTAGACGATGATTCTAAAGACAACTAACGCCATTTTGTATTCGAGAACTCATACTAAACAGGCCATCCATATATCCATATGCGATATGTGCCAATGAGAGTGAGTCACTGTTCACTTAGTACAGCTAAGCCTTGGTTATTATAAAATGCCATAATTTATTATAATTCTGATTTATTTTAGATAATTACAAATAAAAGTTGTGAATCGATAGATATGAAGATCACATTTTAGCTAATCACACTGTTTAAAATACAATAAAATCACTGGCGTTTACAATATTAGAGACTAAAAATGAGCAATCAATTTACTTCATTATATGAATTATTGAGATTCAAACGAATCGGGAATATTTTACAGTTTTTACGGAAAATTTACTCAAAATCTCAAAATCAATATTGAAAACTACATACAAAATAGCAATTCAAAAAATAAAAATTAACCAAACGGCAACTCTGGTATAAAGTGGTTTCTGCTGGGGTGAAAGTATAAACGCTGACAAACTTGTCTCGGCGAAATAAACACGGAGCACGCAATAACCATCTCTAACAAACACTTTGGCTTGAATTAATTATAGTTTGACAAATAGTGAATCTCTTCTTAGTCAGGCCCATATATTATACAACTGTTAAAATGTTGCCAAAGTTGCAATGTATGAGACTGCACTGTTGCAAATCTACAAAGTTCGAAATAGCAATCAATAAACACTTATATAAGCTACTACTATAAACAGCTTATACATTTATATACAAACAGAAGGTAAGGTGACGAAAAACTATAAATAGAACCGATTCCTAATAGCTCCCTATTCTAAATAAGGCGCTCCGGAAGTATGTGCACCAAGATGGCGCACAACCTGAACCCTAACCTGGTACACATACTATGTTCAGATTGTGCGCCATCTTGGTGCACATACTTCAGGACCAGGAGCACTCTAAATACTTCAGAGTTACTTCTCAATGAAAATGAACAACCAACATCATATAAATTTGAACACTGAACCCAAATGAGTGAAGAAGCCGTTCACAGAGCCCGGATAGTATAGAATTCTATATTTGATTATAATTCTTATGCTAGAATGTGGATAGTATACATGCTAACTAAAGGACATTAGTAATGAGACGAAAAATCATATATTGTTCACGTATATTATACATAATACAGAGTTGATATTTGGCGATAAAATAACCAGCAAACATAACCTGATTTGCAGCATCACATAAGAACATTGAGCCCAGATGAGTGAAATGTTGAAAGTACAAGTATAAAAATGCCACATAAATTTGGTTCAATTCAAACATTTTTAAAAAGATATAACAAACCGTCAGATATACTGATTACTCTATAGTTTAAACATACTGTGAAAAATACAATAAAATACCTGATATTTACATGTAATTGTGAATAAATATAAGAAATCAACTAAACCAAATTAATATGTTTAGTGGAATTGAAATAACATTTTACTACTTTCTCTACATTCTACACTTCTATAGATATGAGATAATTATTATTATGTTGAAACAAAAATATAAGTTGAGCAAATTTTTGAGCAAGCAACATAATAAATATGCTTCAAGTAAATAAAAACAAATTCAAGTTAGTTTTGGAAATAATCGCTTTTTTACCTTTTTTGATATTTTCATTTAATTTTGCATTTTTACAAATTTTAACTTAGGGTTATGCATTTTTATATAAATATGAACATACAGTATAGCTATATTTTCTTCTTTATTCGATCAAAAAAATGTCAAATTAAAATGTCAGTTAAACTTCAATTTAGCGAATGAAAATTGATAATAAAATATTAGAATAAAGATAAAATACAAAAGAAAGAAAGCAATTTGCTCAATTAGAAATATATACAACACAATATTCACTAAATATAGTTAAGTAATGTTTTCGATATTGATTCATAATCGTAAATGTGCCTCACCATTATCGGGTGATTGGCAGTCCACTAGTTATTTCAAGACATAACTCGTGGCAATGCAAGATAATGTTACAATATTTCAAATTACATTTAAACGAGATTTGCCCAAATATAAATAGCATTCTACAATCACACATTAGGTATGGTAACATTGTACAGTCAAAGTAAATCAGTCCATCGGTTAGTTATTCTGAGAAGTACAACGCTGCAATGCAACGAAATGTAACATTATTTTTAATAATATATGAAATGCTACACACATTTCCCATAAAAGCATACTACAATCCCGCATTATATATGGCCCACAATATCAAGTTCAGTTGTTGAATATGAAAACAAAAGTAAATCACTCCATGAAATACAATTTGATAAAAAAAATCATCTCGTCATTGTTCTGGTAGTTTTCCTGATCTTACTGACCACGTCAGTCGGTTTATATTTTCGTATATTGGAAAACCATAATTCTATCAGATTTAGTGGCTATTGGCATTGAAGTAATACTATTAGGTCAGTTTCGTTTAGTTCTGTATGAGTGCGCGTTATACACCACCATATTCCTATATAGTTTCAGTAGCTTTTGGCACTTCAGTGGTGGCCTGTAACTTCGACCAAAGATGAGTGTGTGTGACATTGCAAAAAGGTGAGAACAATACTAAAAAGATTAAGTGAATAAATCTGAATTTATAAGTAATTGTGTTATTAAATGGGGCTGAATGCAAATCTTGATCAAGTATGATCTATAGATGTTGACATTTTGAAATATTGCTTCATCTATGAACCATGCTTGATCAATTGTTCATAAAACATGCGATTGAAATGAGAAATTATAGAAAACGGATATGACCAGTCTATGCAAGTAAAACTACTGAATATTTTTAACAGTATCGAATTACACACCATAATAAATATAAATGAAAATTTTAATATTTTGAAAATATAGTGTGAATTGAGTTTGAATATAACTGGTCTACTGGCCATTTTTTACAGTATTAAATTACATAACAAATAAAATCAAAAGTTCGAATATTTTATTCAATGTTTGAGATAAATTTAGTAAATTACGATTTGCCGTGAATATGCGATGCGGATATCAGGTTAATTTTGCTCGAGTGGCTTTTAGATCAGTTTTTGACTTTTCAATCCATTTCTGTTTCTCAGCTTCATTCTCGTAATCTGAAGCCTTTCCATACGCATCAATGGCTTTAATATTATAAGGTTCCGCTTCTGAATATTTACGCAGATTATAATACCCTACACCAATACTATGCAGCAATAAACCGTAGATTTGATATTTTGAAGCGTTTGGCCCGAACTGTTGCTCCAAAACCTCCAGTTCCTTCTTTCGGATTTTTATACTTTTCTCCTGTTCACCAGCCAGGTTATAGTTATATCCAATGGAATTCGAGCACCAAGACTCTTGTATTGCTTTATTCACTGGATCAGCGTTTTCTATTGCACGAATATCATCCAGCATTTCTGTCATGTATTCTATGCCGTAATCCACTCCTATAATTTTAGATCGACCACCGGCTTCTATCAATGGCTTAGTTGCATCATGTATTTTACTGACACAAAGTTGAATCCCATTTATTACATCATCGGGTGATCTTGTGCGAGCCTTGTAGATATCACTTGCTATTCGGAGCAATATTATAGCGCGAATGTAAGAGGAATTCGAAATTAAATCAATTGCGAAGGTTTTGACGTCATCAACATCAACTGATGATGTCATGATTGCACGCCTGACGTCATCTATGGCTTTTTCACCTTTCTTTTCTCTTCCAAGTTGTAGATAACATTCGACCATCATGAGTGCCGTGTCTAGTTCCGTACATTTCTGCAGTTGAGCAAGTTCCTCAAGTAGAGTTGATGCTTTATCAAACTTGGTCTGTCCAATCAATGCTGCTGCTCTGCCTGGAATAGAAGTTCGGAGTCACTCAGAATAATTTTACTGGAACGAGGTTTTTTTTGGTGAGGGGGTGGGTCTTGGGGTTCTGAGGGGCCATGCATCATGCGTAGTACTTTGCAGAACGTTTTTGTTTTTGAAATATCGTTATATATCACTGGCAACTTTCATCTGGCTTTTGTTCGGCGAAAAATGCAATATTGAGCATCTTATTGCGTCATTATACGAAAAAGGGTACTCCCGTGGTATGTGTACCAAGGTTGGAGTTGGGCCATAATTTTATTCGGGGACTGTGTGTGTTAGCCAAGTGAATATACCCCCTGCCCATACGTTTCAGTCCCTTTACACAACTTGATGTAAAGTAGGCGAACAAAATTAGTTACCTTCATATTGGTAGACATACTTTTGGAGCGACAAAAAAGATTGGCCCCCCCTCCCCCCACAAAAAAAATTTGGGCTGGCTATGCTTTTGTCAGTTGCTGATTGTCTTGAGCCTTATTCGGTCAAATAGAATATGTACTGGAACTCGACTGTATTTTTAAGGTGTCTTTACATATCGAGTAAAGGAACATTATATTAGAAAGGAGATGGTATAATTGCTGATTTTTCAACGGCATACTCAAGTGCAATTAGACAAATAGTAGCAAATGTTACTGGTGGCGGCGGCCAACATATCCAGCAAATATGGAGTCCATGATGGGATTGATAAATTGGCGGCTTCAACCCAAATAGTTTTCCGCCTCAAGATTTCTCGGTAATTTTATGCCCGTTCACATGTTCTTTACTTACTTCGCAGCATTGAACTCTTCAGAGTGTTATTTCCACCTTTTGCAGTGTTGAGAGATGGCAGCGGCCTTTGCTTTTGTTGCACCATTCTTTCTCTTGCAGATTCTTTTGGAATGTCTTGGAGTTTGCGATCATCTGGAAGCATTGGATTTTCAGTAAAAAATAGACATGACTAGAGAACAGGCTCTCAAGTTAGGGACTGAATTTAACAATAATTTATGCTCTAATTATTGTAGCCGTTACTTCAAGTCTCGGATCAGTCGGTATTCACTAATGCGTCATTATTCTTCATAATTATTACTTATCGATCTTAAGATCGGTAAGTACGTTGATAGGTATCTGTCTGTATGTCTGTGTGTTAGATGCACGCGATATCTCACGAAAGCGAGGTTCAATCTGCTCCAAATTTTGCATGTGCATTCATCTTAGCTCGGATCAGAAGCCTATTGATTTTGAATGGATTATGTCGTATAATTAGCGAGTTATTAAATAATTAGTGATGGGACACACGGTGTCACTATGAGGTAAGACCACTGTTTAGGGGATTCCCTAACCTTCGATCGATAAGTCTTCGGTTTCCAACCGAATTCTAGTTTATGAAGTCGGTAACTCTTGGCATTCAGTGTTTTCGTAACTTAGCTCAGATACCACGTGCTTTACTTCTATAAGAGTATACATGGCCTTGCTTTGAAGATTTTTCTTATAAAACATTGGGACAACAAATATTTAATTTCAGACTGATATTGTTTTGTTAATTAAAGTGTCAAATATTCGCATTTGGGATATTCTAAATTTTGCCTGTTCAAGATATTTTCTTATAGGCATCTGATTCTTAATGGCGATAAAACAGAAAAATCTTCAAAGCATTACATTAAAAAAGCACGTTTTTAGTTTTACTTTGATAAGAAATTAGAGATCAACCATGAATAGCATATGAAGGCATTCTACAAATTTTTTATTTTAATATAAAGACATGGGAATTGGGATCTTGATTTTCTTTGATAAAAAGCTCTCAAAAATAAATCTTGAAGTGAAACCTATATTAGTAACCAGGTTACTATCAGTACTGATTTGAGCGTTAAGATATAAAGATATATATCTTTATGCCTACTGCGTAAATCGCTAAGCATCCGAAACAGTTGGTTGACGACAGCAACAGTGCCTAAGACTTGAGTAAAACGTGAAAATTGAAATACAAAGCATCCAATATTTAAACATGCCTTTAACTAACCCTATTCTGACACAAAATTAAATACAGAAAGCATACTGTTAATATTTGTAAGGATAGATAGCGAGTATAAAAGAGCAGTTTTGAAACACGAGTTAACATTCGTGAACATAGATTTAAATATCAACTGAAAAGTAAATCAAGCAATATTGTATTTTTGTCCACGTTTGTTTTTGTCAGAAACGCCATCATGCAACACACAACATAACTGACCTTTCTTTTCGATTGCTCCAGTCTCAGAAGCCTCGGTATTTTTTTGGGATAAATTCAAAGCATCGATACCTTCAGCGATATTATTTGGTTGAACGTTGCCAGCTGGCTGATGTTGACCGACATTCTGTTGTTCAGCTGCCTGTGAAATATTTATCTGTCCAATCTCCCCTGCAGCAATCTCAGTTGTCCTTGTTCTGAATAAAATACGGAGACATAGATTAGATATTTCAAACTGGCTACATTTGGTATATTTTAACCGTCCAGTTCGGCTTCAAGTATCGGTTTCTGACATTTAGTCTTTTTGATAAATTAAGATACTATTTATAAATCCTCAGTGTATCTACATTTATAGATATATCTCACTCAATCAGATGTCACCAATCACCACATATATAATCCGAAGAAATATTCGTAAGAGTTTTTACAGGCATCAGGATTTGAATATTATATTTCGACAACGCATTGCTATAACTGAAATACATTCAAATTGTGTATTCGAATTCCCAAATGCGTTTTTACTCTAAAATTCAAAGCTGAGAGGAGCGAGACATCAATCTATGTCAATTCCTTAAAAAATATTCCAATCGCAACACCGTATATACATTATTTTACTCAAATCGTTTAAGCAGTCTGAATTGAAGATTTGTCGTTTACAAACTTAGGTTCTACTAAATAAAGTAGTCAACTTACTGGACAATTTCCCTCTGGTTCTGAGCTGTATAAATAGTAATGTGATATACAGCTTGCTGCTGGTTTTGCTGTCCACCTTCTGCCATGTCGTCTGCTCACATGAACTCCCTGGATGTTTCAGCTTTGTATATCCAAAGTGTAATTGAACGGCTCAACTTCAGTAATGCAGGGCGAACACCTATGTCTAACGCTATACACCGTGGTAATATCTATCGCTCGCACATTTGGATGTACACACATGCATTTTAATGCACACCCATGCATTTTGAGGAAATGAGAAATGCTCGTTCAACCGAGACCCAGTCTATTATGTCGCATCGCAACACTGCAATTCTGACTGAAAGAGATGATTGCTTCCGTGTATTGTCAGGAATCTACGGTTGTAAAATAATATATATATGTATTTAGAATATATGTATTATGGAACGTAACTCGGCAATAAAAATTTGTGTGGTCCTATGCCCTATGGCAGGGCCACTCAACTATTTTAACCGAAGGTCCGTTTAGAAAACCTAAAAATTACTGGGGCCCGGACATTACAGAATATTTTTCCATTAAATAAACGAAACGTCAAATGATGGCTTGCAAATATAAACACAAATGTCGCATATTAGCACCAGTACGACAAACTGTATAGCTGTGTATTTAAATTGTATCAAAAACATCTGAAAGTACCTAACGTAGCTTATGCAGCCAAAACAAACAAGCAGACGCGGTCCAAATTAAATGGTCGAAAGATCCGGATTCGGACCGCGGTCCGCCAGTTGAGTAGCCCTGCCCTATGGTATGAACTTATACATGCAAGTACATATACTGGGCACTTACTAAAGCCCTTACTAAAGCCCTTGATAAGAAATAGTTGGTACTTCGCTTCCTAAAATGAGCAAACAACATTCCTTTCTCCTTATTTCGCCCTGTTCATAACAACGATATTGATAAAAAGAAGAAGTTCTAGGATTCGCGAGCCCGAACTTGAGATTAGCAGGTTTTATTCACTCACGCAATCACTCTAAAATAAAGATCGATCTTTGAGCAAAGTTATGTGAGACCATTTAAGTGCCAAAAACTGAGACGACAAAGTAATATAGTGTAGGATTTTGCGTTTTTACCGATTAACGCGAGACCGAAAGCCGCTCAGGCCAATACTAGAAGATAAACAGCTTAAAGATAAAGTACGCTTCTTTAAATTTGTCAAAATTGTGTCATTCAAACAGGAGCGTAGACAGCCGGTGTTTTTGGGCGGGGGGGGGGGGGGGGGGATTTATAATAATGACGTAATATGACGCTTACTCGCGTCTTTTGCTCCGAACAAGGCTAGATAGAAGAAGACACTGGTATTGAAAAATATCTTAAAGAACCTCTCCACCGGGAGCTTACGTATGGTGTCGAGATCCAGGATCAGATTACCACTCAAACCAGATTCGAAGTTAGAAGTCATTTGACAAATCCTATCATTTTTGATTCAATGTTGGTATTTTCAATCGGTCTAAGATAGAAGTAATTTTTCAGCCTTGATATACATGGATCGCTAACAGTTAAGACTCACTGAATAAACTGGCGCTCAAAAGTAAACATATTGGAATCAGTATTGGGAGACAGGTTGCAAGTCATTATTAATAAGAGACAGGTGGCAGATCATTAATATTAAAAAACAGGATGCAAGTCTATTAGAATTACTAAGAGATATAGGTTAATTCCTGTGTTAGTGTTATAACTACATGGCAAGCTATGATGTAAAGGTATTTCTGCGCACCCCTAGACCACATAGTTTTCGAGGGAACAAATCAATAACGTTCACGGTAACACCCTTTATTTACCTAAAACCTTTTCCGCGAATGTTCGAAATAAATTACGTATTGAATTATTGGCAAAGCACACTAAAAACCTCGTCTGGTTACTTGTTCAGGCCAGGTATGTGAATAATAAACTGTTCAATCACACAGGAACATCGGTGTAAAGACCAGCTGACGAGAGTCCTATTATCGTTCCACCACAAATTTCTGCTCTTAGAGACCTTTATTCGCAGTCGTTCTGTCTGTCGAAGCAGCTTTGCCGATCTGGATGCAATTTCTCATTTAGGTTTTCTTATCACCTTATGAACATTTTTTTATTATTAGCCACGGCATTCTGTTGAGACACTCAGCGCTCAAAACATAACTTTTCTGAAAAACGTCCCAGACAGAAGTTCAAGTGCAGGCAAAATATAAAAATTACTTTATTTCCGTTGTAGTAATTAGAATTAGGGCTTTTTATGTCCCACTGTAGTTCTGAAATCGACTGCTAAAATCTACACGGTCACGCACGTATTCAAGACTCATTGTTGTTCAAGAGTCATTGGGGCAAACAGTTGGCTAAATCCGATATTCTCCAGGGATTATTGTGAAAAACAACATTCTATATTATTTTAATTCATTAATATTACTGCCTTGCTATTGCCCCACCAGCAATTTGATTTTTTTTTTCTTCATTCCATTCATGTTGGTTTATGATAAGTGGGGAACGGCAGCGCAATAAAACGCCCAACATAAATTATTTTAATCGAAACTGGGCAGAATTAGGAAAATATTAGAAATTTGATAATGACAGAATAGTAGTCATATTCTCCCAAGTTCAAAGATACTAGCCAAGACATGGTAGTCTACTTACTACTATATTCGTATTGTAAAAATTAAGACCCTTGATGAAAGTTATTTCATATTGTAAACATGCTTTATATTTTAAATAATGTGTCATTTTACACAGCCGACGCCATTTTGTTTCGAAAATATGTCGGTTTTAAATACGAGAGAACATGAAACCACGTTACGCTTGAAAGATTGCAAGAGCAAGATAAATTGCAAAAATGTTAATTGGATTCGTGAAATATTGTAATTCGCGGCTACTTTAATGGGGTAACTTAGCCTTACATGCTGGGAAGAAGTTAATATGCAACTACGAATACTGCACAAAGTGTACTGTTATGAGAATGTAGTTCTACGCTAATGCGCCTTTTCAAAATCGTATTCTGTGTGAATTGGTCTTTACGAGTAAGTACAGACAAAAAAGTTTAACTTCTCAAGGCTAAGGGTATGTATATACGTACGGCCATTGATTGCTAGCTTGTCCGAGATACGCTTTTATTAACAGCCGGCTTAGTTTCAGGTTTGGTGGTCCTAGTATCCTGTATAAATTAACGTAATTATTACGCAATAGCCGTTGTACAGTGAATCCACAATTGAAAATAATACACCTGATATGACACGAATCTGTTGCCAGCCTAGAAGATAGTGACAGCAAATTTCGTTTCGATATAACGGTAACCTATTGATAGTTATGACTTGTGTTATATTCTGTATGGCGTATTTTATGACTGTTGTAATTTGAAAAGTGTACTGCCGTAAAATTAGTTTTTGAAGCATATTTTCGTGAAGTGGAATATTTTCGTCACGGTTAATACCTGGCAAGGATAAATCCCATGTAACGGAAGGCAATTAATGCCTTAAGTTAGGTCAAGCTGTCTGTAACTTGCTGTGCTGTAGTTTAAACATATCGTGTTGATAAAGTTTATTTTAAAGCATGATTTCACTCGAGGATTATTTGTTTCTCGGATTTATTATAAACATTCATAGGCAGCAAGAAGAAAGGCAGGTAAGACGTTTTCTACTACTATGGCGTGTCATGTTCTACCGGTACCCATCGTTCCCAGTAGTGTACCTTTCCAAGCAGTAGTTTACTGTACTCTAGTACAATGGTTCCCAACATTTCAACCCTGGCGGACCGGTAAAATTAAATAATATGTACTCGCGGACCGGCAAAAATTGAAATGAGTTGAACAGAAAATAATAACATATATTTGCGTAGTGTCAAGCAATCACTATGCTTTTAGAAAAAAAAGGGCACACTTAAAACATTTTACATGTGGAAAACTATCAAATAATGTGCCGACCAAAAATTGAAATGGGTGGAAAATGAAATAATAACATATATTTGAGTAATAAAATGCAGTGCTGGCCACCCACAATGCGTAAAAGAGGCACACATCTCACATAAAAAAAAAACATGTACATGCCAAATCATGTACAAACATTATTATTTCAAGTGAGTATTTTGCTTCTGTTTCGTTTCCAATACAGGATTGCAAACGGGGCACCAAAAAGGGTTTTGTAACACTTACCTCTGCAGCGACTCACAGTTGATCTATTTGCTTCGTTTTTTATTAAAGCTAGAGATAACTGGTTGGAAAATTTGGACAACAGTTTGCTTGCTCGATAACTTAGCGATGGGTATTCGTTATTAAGAGAGCTCAAGAGTGAATTGTGACAGTGATTCCTTTATAAATCTGGACTGTAAAGTTAAGGTTTCATCGGGTTCATCATATATCAATCCCTCTGCAGTTGATCGACGCCCCAAACAAAATTAATTTATTTTGCAATTATAAAGTCGTTTCTAACTTGCACCAGGCTCAAAATCCTGCTGTGCAACACTCGGAAAAGATCTCAGTGGCCGGTGCTTTTATTAAGCGTCTTGTGACCACCTGCATGGTCGCAACAAGTTAATATCTCGCTTGGTGGATACTATAGGATAGGACTTACATATTTATCCCGGGGGAGAGGAAAGCCGATGAGACGGCTTATCCATATGGCGAACCACGGCCTCTCGTCCAGTTACCATTCCAAGTCGGGTATGGGATTAGGTATATTGTTTGTTTTCGGAAGCATGGACTTGGTGGTGGAGGAAGCCGTAACCGACCAGCGGTTACGTGAACCACCCAACGACGGCGAGTAGTCCAGCAATCCTCTCGCACATAACCATCCCTGCATAGGATTTGAACCTGCGAACCCACGCGGAGTAATTAGAGGTGCGGTGGCGAGCGTATTCCTAACGCTTAGCCCGTTGAGCCACACCGCCGCGCCTAGACGGGTGGGTCGAGGTGAAGCTCTGGAATATTATACTGTTCTTGACATTGGAATATTATACTGGATATTATTAGTCAGAAAAAGCATGCAGAACGGTAAAAGCACACATGCTGATTTTCAGGTTTCGGATTCTTGTGAGATTTGACGGAGCGCTTTCGCGACGAATCGTAACCGAAAAGTGTGATTACACGGCGCCAAGACGTCGCCGGGCGCACTTATCAAACAGCAATATGACGGCGGAAGAGAAATAGCGTAATAAA